ACCCGCGCGTGCCCCTGCGTAACCCCGCCCCGCGCAGCGTCCGGCCGCGCACAGACCCGGCGGGACGGGGAAATCCGTGGCGTTGGGGCAAACTTTCAATTCCTTAAAAATGCTGCCGACATGAGAGAAAAAGAGCACGGCCCTGCTAAGCTGCAATAGGTTACTATGTTGCGCCAAACTCTTCTCTTCATTACTATGCAAATTAATTCTTCCTAGGATTTCCTTAAATTCCAGAACATCCAAGTCTTTGTGTCAAACTGCCGAGAAGTTCATGGCCCTCGGCAGTGCCTCACCCCGCTGCAATCCCCCCGCAAGCGGCCGGTGGGCTCCCAGCACACGGACGCGCCACTTCCTGACCTCCATCCATCCACCTTCTTCCTCTCCTTTGGCTGTTTTTATTCTCTCCTCCTCTGCTCGTCTCTGCTCCTCTTTTTATCTTTTCAGTGGTGCCCAGCGACAGGACAAGGGGCAATGGGCACAAACTGAAGCACAGGAAGTTCCGTCTGAACATGAGGAAGAACTTCCCTCTGAGGGTGACGGAGCACTGGAACAGGCTGCCCAGGGAGGTTGTGGAGTCTCCTTCTCTGGAGATATTCAAGACCCGCCTGGACAAGGTCCTGTGCAGCCTGCTCTGGGTGACCTGCTTTGGCAGGGGGGTTGGACTGGATGACCCACAGAGGTCCCTTCCAACCCCGAACAGTCTGTGATTCTGTGATTCAAACTGAAATAAAGCTCAGAACTCAGTGGGCTTCTTTACTTCCACCTGCCCTTCGTCTCTAAATTCATGACACACTCTACTCTCCCACCTCGCTATTTTCTCCTGTGCTTTCCTTACACTGCCTCCTGTTTCTTGCCCTCATTTGAACTCACTCTTGCTAGAGCATCTGTGACGTCTCTGTAGCCACACCACAGCAACAGCCACAAGCAGCCTTCCACAGGACTCTTCCTGAAATCTTGGCCCACGTAGCCTCCAAATAATACCATCCCTGTGAGCAACCTCACCCTGATACGAACTGGAGGTGTGCTCTGCACCAGAGACATGTCCTGCTCTCCACCCTAAAAGGCTAATCTGTCTCTTTGAAGTCTTCCAGAGAGCATCTACCTGGCACGTCAGACTCACGATGACTAAACCGGTTTTTGTCTTCCTCCTCAGGTCTCACCATTACTTCACTTTTCAGTAACTGTACAACCCATGACTTGGCAGGCTTCATTCTAGCCTCCTACGTCACACCTGGGGATAAGAATCAAATTATTTTTCTCTTTAATATGCTTCTCTTCCTAGTTTTCGTAAGCCAAAACCCTTTTCTCCCCCTACCGGCGTTACTGCAGCCGCCTTTTCTCAGGCTTTGACTGGGATAGAAAATGCAATTTTGCGGTATTCAGGCCCACAAAAAGCAGCCTCCTAGATCACAGCTCAGAAGATACTGTCCTTCCATCCCCCCAGTCACCTGGCCCAGCACAGACCAGGAAGCTGGAATCGATGATGACCTCTCAAAGGCCTTTTCAGCACAGCTGAAGTTATCCTGCCACTTCCCTCTTTCTGCACTGGCATTTTCTCTTTTTGCCCTCATTCTCCTGGGACTTCCAGGCTGTCCTTCCCTACCTGCTACCCCTCACTCCGCACTGAGGGGCCACCCTTCGCGGGCAGCCGACAGCAGCAGCTTCTGTTACTCACTCTGTAAAGTCTCCATTCCACACGCCTGTACTATTTCCCAGACTTTCCGGGTAGACGGAAACAGCTTCCTAGCAAGCAAGCACAATGTCGTCTCTTTCTCCTCCTGTGTTTCTTACAGCTCCTTGCTGCGAGGTCTACAAAAAGCTTGAAAAAAAAAAAATCTCTTTCCTTGTGCTTCTGTCTTTTGTCACAGACGTAAAACGTAAGCTCTCTAGGGACGGCAATGACTCTTTGTTTGCTAACGAGCCTAGCACGAGGGGATCCTGGGTGAAGCTTCTAGGTATTAAAATAATACAACTGATAATGTAAAACATAGGTTTTACATTTCAAATACTTAATCCTGGAAGTAGTGCATAACCGCCAGCCAGGGGTTGCAGTGGAATTATCTGGATCCTTGTCTTCATTATCTGCAACAACAGTTTGCAGGATAATTAGGGCGTCTCTAACAGCCTTTCTGAGGTCCGGTTTTTATTGCACCCATTCAGCTGTTTGTATACAGATGATCAACTTCTTGTCTCAAGCTTTAAGTAAAGCAGACAGACCGATGATTATACTAAACAGGAGATGAATCAAAACCAACATGCTGCACAGCAGAGCTAACAATTTTAAAATAACTTATAAATTTTTTTTTTTACCATTTCAAATCTGCGTGAAACTTGAGAAAGCCTGGCAACATCTTCCAGCTCCAGAAAGGAAAAGATGTGCAGGAGCAACGGGACAGGAAGCCGCTCCAGGAAGTCGTAGTTACCTCGGCACAGACTGAGGACATGTTCTAGAACTTCGGCACCAAACACTATAGCACTCTGAACTGGGATTAGAAAAACACAACAAACCCAAGATACAACAGATTTGTAGGTTTTTTTGCAGATTTCTTCCCAATAATCCCATATTATTCAGATACATCTTTAAAAAAAAAAATCAGAAAAGTCAGCTTAATTATTTTTTTCTGTTTTTTACAGAAAATAACATATACTGAACAGCAGTAATTTACAGTTTTTCAGACATGGCTTTAGTTAAAAAACTGCGCATTGTCTGGTATATACAGAAAACTCTTGTCTCAGCTGAGGAGCACAAAAACAGAAGCAAAGCTGAACTGAAACTTGTCCAGATCCATTTTGTCCACTTTTCCACATATATATATTTATCTACATAAAGACTGTGCTGTTTACTCAGGAGGAGGTTAGTAAAACAACTGAAAAAAGTACTGTACTCTTATGCTTTGGGGAAAATAACGATGGCTCTGACATTAAAAAGTCCCTGTAGTTCTGCTTCTTCAGTGACAGAGGTACAGCTAACCCGCTACAATGAGACCGAAGACGGTTATCTTCTACAGCGACGTGACACTTTTTGACTCATTCACTTTGTGATCCAATACAGTTCCAAATTCTTTTTCTATGGATCTGCTACTTCTGTCCCCCATCTTGCATCCATACAGTCAATTATTTCTGCCTCAGTGTCCGACTTGGCCTTTTGAATTTAACACTGTTTATTCAGATCATCTACCTATTTTGTCAAATCGCTTTAATAAAAATACTAGTTCATTATAAAACAGGATCCTGAATTCAATTTGCTACACTTCTAATGAATGATCAGTGGTAAATTCTGGAGCCACGTGTTGTTTCCTAAGATCTGATGACATGAATGCAGTCATCCGGATTTGTAAAATACTTCTTTTTTTTTTTCTTCCCTTTTCATACGGGACACAGGGATCAAAATTTAAGTTTAAAGCAGAATTACTATTTTTTTGTATTATGAAATTATTCTAATGCATCCAAAGTGGGTTTTTAATGGTTATTTGGAACGTTTTGGTTTGTTTTTTTTAACCACTAGAGTCGATCTTCTCCTGTATGTTAAAGTCAGACGAGGAGAGAGAAACAGAATTGTGGAAGTTGAAACTATACTGACTATAGGCAGTAAATGCATCCGATTTTGATGCAGTAGTTTTCTTTCCAAAATATTTTGTAAGATTAGTTACAAAACTCAAGCTTATATGAATACATTTGAAAGAGCTTTCCGATTTAGAAGATTTCACTGTTCAGATGTTAAATTTTTTTCTTTTCTTTTTGTTCCAGGTATTCCTAAGGTAATTACGTAGAAGCAAGTGATCACCTCATCTCCCTTGACGTCTTCGGGTGGATGGCCCAATACCGTTCAAGCTTTTCTTTCTGTTGCTGTATCATACTGCAAGCGCAGTTTGCTGTTGTTCTCATTTGCTTTTTTGCTTTCCAAGCATTTCAGTTCTATACAGTTGGTAATTTTCCTCAAATTCCTTATGCAAGTACAAAAATTATCTAGACAGTCAACTAAAAATTGTCTGGCTGATCTAATTCAAGCTGACATGAAAGAATGATCCAAATCTTCACATATTAGGAATGATGATGATGATAATATTTGTAGCGTGCATCTATTTCATGTTGAATGCTTAAGCAGGCTACCACATGAATATTTGCTGCTCCTTGAGTTTTTCTTGAAAATTACTTATTTCTAGAAATAATAATGTGACCTGTTTTGGGTATTTTAAAAAATATTTAGCTGTATTTATCTGATACTACTTGATGACTTGGACTATTTGTTCACTCACCCAAAAATGTAAATAGACCTCTCTGCTCCTGCCCTACACTGTCATAAATTAATTTTCCATCTTTGCAAAACAATAGTGAAAATCTGGCCATATAAAAAAAAATCTTGCTGTTCCCTCTTGGCTCTGTCGAAATTATGAAAAAAACCCTAATGATACCTTACTTCACTGTCCAAAAAGAAAACATTTCCAAACAAACACGGATGCTTACAGTTGTATGGTAGTTAATAGAAATTTACGAAATGTTAATATTTATTGTAAAATGTTTAGTTCTTCCATTTTCTACTGGAGGCTTCAAATGCCTGTATGGCATATTGATAAAATGGTTCATTTACAGGGGGACTATTCCTCCTATGCCCATTAGAAATAATATAAGCACTTTCTTCTTTTTTTTTTTTTTTTAAACAAATTTTCTCTAAAAATCTCCAACCATGTGAAGACAGATAAAATCTTAGGAATGAGAACTGGGAGATAACAACACGAAATTCTAGTACTTTACAACAGATAAAAATTTTGCTGCTAGGGGTGTAGCAAATATTCAGCAGCAAACCATGGGTCTGGCAAGGAGTCTTTTATTTGAACCCTCATTTGGCTAAAAATTCAGTAAGGATAACTAGAGTATTATTCCAGTATATATGTTTGTGGAGAACTATGAAAAAAAACCCCAAACCACCTGTGAATACTTAGGAGAACAGTAGCAAAGCTCCTCTTAACAGGAGGTGAGAAGGAGGTGTAAAAACATCTGATTGTGTGGAACTGAACAGCAAGAGCTATGGACAGAAATAATATCAATATAACAATACAACTTCTCACAAACATAATTTATATTTGTAATACTTCTATTTATGTTAGCATTTTTCTGAAAACAAAACATTTTTCTTTTATGTTAACATTTTACTAAAAACCAGAGGGAAAACCTCATCTATGATTTTAAAGATAATTTCAGAAGGAGGAAGAAATGACTGAATGTTAGGAAAAATGGCAGCTGTGCCTTTCAATACTTTCTATGGGATAGAAAACCTCTGAACCACAAATAACACTTTTCAAGAAAAAGCAGGCAGATCTTCTTTGCAACCTACAGAAAACACACAGGATAACAGCAGAAAGCTGCACGTTAACAATAGTTTAACTATTTGAATCATTGTACACAGGTCATGTAAAACAAGTGTTTTATTGTGACATTAGATTAATATCAAATGCCACATGAAAATCTTACAGTATAAGTAATGAAGAAAAAAACCAAGCTAAAATCCTCACCAATATATATTCACATATGAAATCTACTTTTACCAGGTAAATAAAAACCAAATTAAAATTAAATTTAGAAAATAAACCCATTAAAACCTATAGCTAAATTCAGCTATAAATTCTACATAATTCTTGGCAAAAAAAAGTATAGAAGACTACTTCTTTGAAAGCTCAAGTTTATAAAAATTGATAATCACTTTTGTCAAATTAAAAACTAGTGCAACTCTGCCTCAACTAATGGAGTGATTATAAATTCCTACTGCAAAAAACCACAGCATATTTAAAGACTCCCTGAGCACTAGCCAAATTCAACAGGCAGTCCATTTTCTGTTGGTTCATTATACATTCATCCCCCTTCTAGTCAAAACAAGTAGTAATAACTGGAATTAAAGATTTGTTTTGTTATGGACTGTGAGCGCTGATTGACACTTTTTTTCCATGGCTGGTACGTATATCCAGTCACTTGAGCTGAGAATGTGCAATCTTTCCATCAATGGAGCACTAACAGCAGTCACTTCCAGTCTCCCTACCCAACTGCCTAAGGAAGTGTGTTTTTTTTCAATCAAATTCACTTGCAACTGGTCAGTTGCAGAAAATAGAACTGGGATCAGAAACAGAAACCTAAACATAGAAATGCAGACCACATTAACTGACCAGGGCTAAAAATCTCAACTATCCTGTAGGAAGTGTTAGATTTTAACAAGCAAACCACAGGAAACATGTGTTGGTCTTATTTCAGACCCTTAAAGGAAGATACACTCAAGTTTACTCTTGAAAGCAGGTATATTCTCTTGGTGAAAGTTTTACCCTCTCCTCTACCACCTGAGATTCATATATACACTTTTGGGGAAAGCAGACCTCCTCTGCCTAGGCGGAAATCAGATGATGTCTAACACAGCTGCTGATGAGGAAAACAGAACTTCATTTGGAAAGGACATCTTTCAAGTTCATCATAAAAATACGATAAATATGAAGTCACATCTGTGATTAAATGATTTATGTCTGTACATAATCAGAATACAAGACCAGTGTACTAAAAAGAAAAAAATCTCACCAATGCAAGGTGTTTGAGTGCTACCTAGTCTCTTGGGCTACAAAAGTGTCAGATCTCAATCCAGTCCTTGCAGGGGCAGTTATGAAGTTCTCCATTTTTAGACCAGGTCATAGCTCAGACCTCAGCTATTCGCTGCAGTTGCTGAATTAACGTGTCTTTGGCTTAGTATTCGCAGGAGACTGTTTCCTCTGTAAGCCATGACCAACCATATCTTGTGACACGACATCTTTTAAAAACTAAACCATTACTGAGTAATGATATTACTTCACATAATCTTATATTTAAGATTATAAGAAGATGCAGAGCAATAACTACTTGGAACACAGAGTCCCATGGAACTCTGGGAAAAAACATAATTATTTCAGATGTTCTCAGTGGTCACTCTATCAGGAACAGGTTGGAAAACAGCTCTATAAATCTATGTTTTGAGGTTTATTTAGTGGTGTCTCCACTGCCTTTCTTTTTCTGGCTGTATGCTCCTAAAGGCATGTTGCACTTGTATAATCCCATGTACCCGTTGTACTTGGTGTTACTCATGTTAAATCAGATTGGGAATCCATCTGGCCCATGACATGGCCATAAAAACATATGTGCTGGCACAGAGCACTCCTAGGATTGAGTTACTAGCAATAAAAATATTGCTTTCTGGCCTATTTTTGTTGCTAATACCTCTGCCATTGTCTTATAATGAAACTATCAATGTTGCTGGGTTTTATCCTATATTTACTGTCATGCCTTTTTGTTTTTCCAGTATTCATACATTAATTTATATTAATAAATTCATAAAAAATAGCCTGTTAGCCAAAGCAATCACATCTTCAATGAAAGTTATTACAGATCAATATTGCTAGATTATTCCACTGTATGCCACAACAAATTTGTAATTATTATTGTCTTCTTACTATGAAGAGATGAATCATCCAAAAAATCCTCCCAGGATGCTTTAATTTCTCCAGGTCTTGATTCACGAAATTCACTCCTAAGTGAGATTTTCCACCACCTGAAAATTACCTGCAATTGTGGAAGAAGAAAAAGGAAGAAGAAATGAATATCAAGTATCGTGAGATAAATACATTGCTAAGATTCAGGACTCTGGTTGTGTAAATATTACCACATTCCCAAAAGAAAGTTATCATAAGAGATCAGACCATGGTTACATTACCAGCGGCCCTACAACATGCTTCAAAGAACAATAAACATCCCATAATGCACCCAGACAAGTATGAAATGTTTTTACGCACAAAGAAAACGTTCCCAACCCCTGCATGCAAATTGTTCATAGAAATTAAAACACATTTAATGACACCTCAACTTGCAAAACTGTAAACATTCTCTTGTTTTTCATTTAGTCGCAGAAACTCCATTCATCGGGCATTAAATTACATAGTCAAGTAGAAATACGCGTTCAGCTGCTCAGGCATTCAAAAGTGGCAGTATTAGAAGTTCAACTGTCATTTTAACATTTTGTTAAAGTCAAAACTAATAGCTCAGTTCCAAGTTCAGCATTTAGACTGTCTGAAAACTCTGGAAAAAGCTCTCCAGAAGTACATAGTCAACTCGTGTTCAGAGTCAGAAAAAGAACAGAAAGCCCGCATTACAAAGCATGCAACTGAGACAAAAGATAATTATGAATGGTAAATTATGTAGCCATGAAATCATGGACAGCAAGTGGCCCTGGCTTTCAGTAATTTTCCCAGAGTTCTCTTAAAACATCACATATGTACTTGAACAGTGTGTCAGCTTTCAATATTGACTTTTGTTTTGTTGCTGTCACAGCTGGGTCTACAGGAGAGGAGAGCTGTAATCATGTCTCTTCCATCACACAAGCTGTTAGCAAAGATCACACTCCAAGCCAACAGTAGGATTCAGTTGCTGTTGTAGGCAACTTCAGAAACAAATATCTTCTACTCTTACTAATATTAATCTGTTTCATTTCCTTCCAGGATTTTAAATTGTTATATATATAGGTGGACTCCTGACACAGTGATAAAACTGACAAAGGAGAATATTAGTGACGTGTACATTTATAAACAAGCACACATGTGTATATAAAAAATACACTCCATAAAGTCTTATTTTATCTATTGGCATGTAGAAAAGGAAAACTACCAGCACACCTTGAGTTAACTGTCAATAAGCCACAGAAGACTACTCACATCTACTGACTGAAGAACACAGAGTTAAATTTACTACTACAAATCTTAGATCTGACAACAGTGGCTTACATCTCTCAACATTAAATTTAACTTCAGATGTCTCTGTTATTTCAGTGTCAAAATGTAGATTTTAAAAGTTGAGAAAAATGAAGTATTTGTAACTCCCAATGGGTTGCACTCACTTTCATCAATAATTTTCAAACTAAAGCTCAGATTCCAGACAATCTGCTAAGGCAGGCCCACACTAATAATTTCTGTATTTTTCAAGTCTTGCTTGTATCCTGTTGATATATCATATACAGTAAGAGTAAATAAGTTTGAATAAAGGCTTAACATCTACATTTGAATGTCAAATACAGCCAGTTAAAATTTATCATTTTGATGTTAATTGTGGCTAATATATCATTATAGGGCATAACTGGAATTACTAAATCATATTTCTGATAGCATACATACAAAATAGCTTCAATTAACTCTCAGACGTATCCGCAATACTCTGTAAAATAACCCTTATTATGTGAATAAGAAAAAAAACCCTACTCAGTTGCGTAAGTTCATCCTGCTTTACAACGACACACTCAATGTTTATTCCTTTGCAGTGAAACAGTTGCCTCTTTGAAGGGAAAAAACCCCATTCATCCAACCTGCATTCTAGAATTTAATGCATCAAAAATAAATTACACCACTGAAACATTTTATAACAGCAGAGTTAGCATTTCCGTAATGTACATGCACAGCATAGACCTCCATGTTGCTAAAATAGCACCACTTAATATACTAGTGGTAATATGAGGATTCAACGCAAAAGAGATTATAAACCACTTGCCGCTGTCTTTCAGTTAGGATCTTACTACCTGGGAAAGCTTTAGAACTAGTCGGTTTTAGTCCACCGCAGGGATAATAGGACAGTGAATGCTGTACTGTACTTCCAAAAACTCTTTTTATCTCTAGCAATGTAGGGAGAATCAGCACGTAAGGCTACTTCCATTCTTCTTTGTGGAAAACATGAGGTGAGAATAAGGTCAGAACAAAACTGATATGCAAATGGAGCAAGAAAAGACATCCTTCTACGTGTTCCTCAGCGTAACCTGGTTAATATGCTGTCTCTTGGCCTTTTCATGTTACTGTTGGAAACAACATTTCTTTAAAAAAAACAAACAACAAGCCCAAAACAACATCAACAAAAAAAGCATTTCTCAGTATGGAAACGCCAACTGTAACTGAAAAGGAAAATAGCCACCTGCCCCCAAAACCACTTACCAAAAATGATTAACAATGACTGTTGCTTTTCCACTTTTGAACTTCAATATCTAACAACATTCCTCAGATTTATTTTCTATATAACCTTATAGATTTAACTATACACTCATCTAGAAGTCTAATTCTTAAAAAAGCATACTCTGTTGCACAACAGACTACAATGTGTTTTCATCTGTTATAAAATGCATTAAAAAGTACTTTCAGTCTGGGATACACAGTACAATAAAATTAAGTATATATAGATGGCAGATGCTCACCCACATTCTGCACTGATGTAAGCAAGACAAACTTTTCACAGTATTTTGTTTAGTATTGTGTGGGTATGAATGTATTTATGTTTATAAGTTTATGTTTACACAGGTATACAAGAACATATTTAATCCAAACACTACAGCATGCATATGTGTGTATACAGTCCTGAATTTAGAAAGATTTTATAAATCTTTATACAGTCCAACCAACCCTAAAATGGAACACTAAGTCAATACTCTACAAATGAAATACCTCTGTCCTATTTTTAAAGCAATTACAGTAGATGTTTTAACATGGTTATAGAAAATTACTTTCTTGTAGCACTGTCGTACAATTATAAATTCCAATGCATTTTAATAATAACTTAAAAAAATTATCTTAATTGCTATGCTAGGAAGCACACTGCAACAGAACTACCTGCCAGAATAAGAAGATCAGGCCAGCACGCAGAGATACAGGAAAAGTAAAATATTCCAATAATTAAAAGCCACTGTGTATTTTCTAAACGTTATTCTTTGATTTACAGTGGAACAAACTGTCAACAGCACTATTCAATTTAAAAACTTCCTTAGGTACAAATACCCAGGACAAACTACAGTTACCTCGGTAATTTGCTGGCACATGGTTGTTTTAAAGAAAAATATTGCATAGATTTCGTAATAACTATAGTTTTTGCACAGATTAAAAGATGAAGAATGGAAAGTATTATAAGTGCATCCTGGTTACCACGAACACATTTAATTCTCAACATTATTTGAATTCACTACCACATTGCTTACTCAATTGGCATTAAAAGAGCAGAGGAGAAGATGAGCAGAAACAAACCTAAACAGCAGCAACCAGCCACGGTTTTGGATAAAAAGTCATAGCAATTTTTTAAACAAATAAAAGAACTAAAATATTTAAGTGAAAATTAGCAAAAAATAAACTATTTAGGAAGTATCCATTGTCAAAATTCATCTGGACTGTAGATTACCAGAAGCATAGTAATATTTACATTGTATGAGAAAATAACATCTGAAGTTTGTCATATGGTGAGACATCTTTTAAGAATGCTGGGCTCAACCTTCCCTTAATCTGTTTCGGAAGTTATAGAACTAGAAGCAAGTCTCACATGACAGACTGATACCGTGTAATGAGAAACCTTTGGGGGAAGCTGAGTAAAGACGGTGTGAATTGTGAAGCCCTGTAATAAAGGCACGTATGAGAAACTACTTCCTTCTCCAAAATACATTTTTAGGATTTCAAACTTCTCCAGTTCGAGCTTTTGTCTTTACTTAAAACTAGTAACTCAAAATGTAATTTCTCAGATTGCAGGTTATTTGGAGATTAATTTTTCCTATTTTTCTCTGAAATTGTTCTACTTTAAATAGTTAAACATTCATTGGAGGAGGAAGGCGACTCCACAATCTGGAAAACAGTGTTTGCTGAGATTTAGGAGATCTAGATTCAAATATTTTCCTCTGTCCCAGATGAATGGCCTAAATCCCCAGTCTTTCTTTCTGGCCTTGGATTTGCCACTGCAGTCCAAGCTCTCAATCCCCTGTGCAGCGAAGGAGCCATTGTGTCTTCTACTGAAAAAAGCAGTCACGTTCTCATTCTTAGTGACTTCACCTTTACTAAATCCCTTCTCCCAGGCTGTTTTATCCCATATTCTATTACTTTTCCACAGATTTAAAGAAAATAAATCTCTGCTTTTGGCTGAGTTTTTTGGATTGGAGGAGACTATAAAAATTTATGTTGCTTTACTATTTGATTTCAAAATTAGAGTATTAAAATGCTGCTGTCCCTCATTTTATCCCATTTTCTCTTGCAGAATATTGTTGCCTTTTTGCTACAATTTCAAATACATCTATTATATTTAAAGCATTCCATTTTCACGCACCTCAGTATAGAAATCACCCATTTCACCCTCACATAAATCTTTACAAAATAGAAGTGGAATAAATATCAGCATTACTGAAACACCTTCAAGGAAATAAGTATAAGATAGATGTTTCTCAAGCTATGATCTGTATATCTAAATATCTTTCAGTTAATTGATAACTTGAAGGCAGTATCAGCTAATCTGTCACTTAAGAGTTTGCAAATCTAAGCTCAATTTCCAGGCCACGAAGAAGCCAAACGCCTTCACTAGATAAATACTCTTTTTAAAATTCTGAAATTAATTAACACAGTGAAAACTACCAGCTTACCTGCTTCCTTCATCTTTCCAGTCTCTGTTAGCGTAGATGCAATTTTACTTATGAAAAAGCACTTCTGTCATAGCTTTTTCTACTCTTATTCTAACATTTATTACATCAATCAAATCTAATCTAAGACGCATCTAATTGAGAGACTGATACTGTAGTACTGCAAAGTTTTTCACACAGTTGCAGCTACATTCACACTACAGCTTTGACTGCATAAGTAGTAAAGGAAAATCAGAATAGAACAATAGAAATCTTTAGGCTTAGACAGAGCTATGTTCATTTTGCAAGTGAATGAAGCTTAGGCTTCTAGGTCACTTTAAAAATGCACAAGAGGTACCTTAAAATTTTACTCACTTTTCACCAAGAAGAGGCAACCATGTATTATATCTGAACTATGGAACCAAGTAGCACCAACAACGCACAGGTATTTGTAAAAGAACTACATAAAATAAAACGTTAAATAACTTCTTTATAAAGAGCTAGAGTGAGGCTATCCTTATGCATCGACTCTGATGCAGCTAAAGCAAATGCTGTTTTGATCCCTGTGGTGTAAGCTGTTGAAGAACAGTAACGCACAGTGGCAACTGTTTCATGTAAGGCAATAATGGCATATTGTGATTAATGCCAATCTTGTCGAACTGAAGAATCTGTTAAGCCTCCTTTTTTCCTCCTGCCTCCAAGACCAGTTAGATTCTTAGCAATGAAAAGATGTCCTTTGTTTGTATAAATATTCCCACTGTGCCTTCATACAGCATAACAAGCAACATCTAGGTATCTCACAAGATGCTGTGAAACAGTTAAAGAAATCAACAGTTACAGACATGACAGTTATCAACTATTAACATATATTCATACCATGATCTTGGCACAGTTACATAGCAAATTTTTTTTTCTAATAATTTCCTCACTGTCTCTACCCAAAAGAAAATGTCAGTCACTCTCACGTTTCAGTTAGTTAATGATGGCTACACAAAAGTCTTGCAAAAATTAAGAATCTCTTTCATTTCCATTGCCTGCAGTAAGTTTTTTTTGGTACCAGGACCTTAGCCCTGCAGAGAGGCATCTTTTGCTAGTTTAATGAAATTCCATCAGCATCTCAATCTGTGAACACTAAAGTTTCTTTCTGTGGCCTACTAATTGATTTTTCACAGCCTTGCTATCATGTTGCATGGAGCTTTTTGGCAACTATGATCACCTGAGAAGACTTACCTGAAAATCCAAACTTTTGCCCAACCATGCCTCTATAATAGGTATGGCTATAAGGTATGTCTATAAGGTAAACACTCAGCTGGCTCTTTCAGTCCTTTGTAAATATGAGAATATGGAGGAGAGCCAGCAGAGGATGAGGATGGATAGCCTACGGTACATCATCACTACCTCACGGCGTTTAGCTTGACCTAGAGGGTAAAAAGAAGAATTTACAAGGAATTCAGCATCCATCAGGAAAAACAGTTATTTCCAGCTTCCTTATTCCATGTAAGTGTGAGATTTAAACCAAAACCCAAAAAACCCTCTTAATATATAAAGTCAACCTTATTTTGGAGATTTTGGGTTGCTGTAATAAACATCAGAGCTGAAAAGCAGTTGTAATCACTCATTGCTATTGAAGATGGATCTTTAACTTCTAAGCAACAACAGAAAAACAGGTTAATACTACAATTAGGCTTTAAGATCATAAACTTGAATAGCGTAATAGAACACAAAATGCTGTGAAACAACTGCTACAGTATTTAGATAAACACTTCAGATAAAGTGAAAAATACTGTTTGCACTAAACTATTAGCTCCACGTCACACAACTTCACCAGTACAAAGTGATTAACGCTCATATCTGATTAAATAATTTGTTCATTTACCAATGAAAAAAGAGAATAATAGAAGACTCCTTATAACACATTGGGGCTTTAGATCCATTTCCTTAACTTGATCGTTCTGCTATTATGGAGTTTAAAAAATGAATTATGTTCTAATGGACATACTGGTGAGCCTTATAAGATGTTCAGAGTAAAAACAACGCTGTATGAGACAGGTAGAAGTGCGCTATTAAGAAGAGTAAATCAATACAGTAATACTTCAGTCTGCTTTTCCCAATGGATATTGCTGTGAAAATAGTTGTAACTGAAGGGGGTAAAATACAGTAAGTTAAACAACCTAACCAGCAAGGCCACTCTCCCTCCTAATTACACTACATCGATAGAAAGATTTATACACTCACCAATTAAAGTAAGTCTCCAACAGTGCTAGGCTAGTGAGCAGGCAAGCTTTTATTGCTGCTATACAGTCATTTCTCAAATATTTTACTTTCTGACTGGCTTCTCACAGACAAAGTCCCACCTATCCTCTGACTACTTAAGTAGTATCAGCACTGTTACTTGTATATATCTGTGCTTCCTGCCATTTGTAACAGGTTTCTATTAAAAAGAAAAATAAATCAGCACTCTGAAGTTTTAGATAGTAATCAATAAACACAAGTGTACATGCATATGGATGTTAATATCTGCACAAGTAGCTCCTGTAAGTTAGGAGCAATTTAAAGAGAAGACTGGTTTATCTGGATTAAATGACCATCTTCACAGTTCACTGTTATTTCTTCTTGATATACTGAAATTCACATGTAATAAAACTCTTCAGTTTATTGAAGCATACAGAATACATTTGAGTTAAAACTAGAACATTTTTACAGTGCTTAAAACTTAAGATCTACTTGAATTACTTTTAGAGGAAACCTCAGAGCAGTGAGGAATAGCCACATAAATGTGTTAAGGTACAAAACGTATGAACTGCAGACCTGCATGTTTATTTGGAAAGATCTAGAAAGTAATAATGCCTCTATAGCCTTTACAGCTTGCAGAACGTACCAAACCAACCGGGCTACTTCCGTTGCAATTGCTTTCTTTAACAAACATCCAGTGGTCACAACTACTAACTCCATGAGCTATTTCATAACTACTACAATATACAGCACATTTCCTACGGTCTTGGAGAAAGATAGATTCAGGAAGCATTGTGTGATTTTAAGTTTTTAATCATACAGTGAGACTGAAGTACTGTTACGATTGCTTTAATCTTTTTTTCTCCCTTTTTTTTAAAAAAAAAGCCTTTCTTTTTCTGCTCGATTTTGAACATTTGCAATGAAAGCTGTTACTTTGCTATGACTGGCAAAAGGAGATTATTTTGAGAGTCTTGGTTTGGTTAATATGCAAGAATGTGAACATTGTTCACTAGCAAATGCAGCCTGGCAGAATGAACTCCAGTGGTTTTGGGGCAGGGTATGCATGTGTGTGAAATAATACTTGTGTACCTCAGAATTGCTGGCAGGTTTTGACCCAAGCCACTGGATAAGAAGGCAAAATGGACTATCAACAGGTTGCAGTTAATGAAGTCTTTATTTATTTAGGGTTCCCAGAAGTCTTCGAAAGAAAACTTGCTAGGAATAAGAGCAAAAAATGAACCACATCTGGGTGCAAAAGAGTTCACCAAACTGAAATCAAACGAAGCCCATGCACTGATGCCATTCCACATTTCAGTCATGCACAATATGAAATCAAATAGGTACTAGCTGCTGCCTGTTAGATCTGTGAAAGTGGATGCTTTTTGCTCTTCTTCTGGCAAATGATTACCTTTTTCTCAAATTTAAAGTAGGGCTTACAACAGCCATGCTTCATTTGACAATTGCTACAAAATTCTATGGTTACATTTGCTGTTGTACAGAAAGTTATACAAATTACTATTTTGTCTACACTGATGTGGTCACATCTGTACAGGATAGTAGTTTCCTTCTCATGTGCACTCATGAGAAAAAAAAAATTATAGATGTCTCTGGCATTTATTAGACATAGTCCATTTTTCAGTCTTTCTATGGGATGTCCAGTTAAGATTTACCAAAGAGTCTGAAGTGCAAAACCTAATACATTGTGCTAAAGAAACTGTTCTACAAAGAAAAAAAAAAAAGTTCTCTCAGACCATCAGGTTGAAAGTTTGGACAATAGTGTGTACTTCAAAGTTTATACAGATTCTTCTCAGGATCACAATAGCCACCATGCAAGGCCACATACTTCCCTTCCCTACTTGGTTTCGGAGAAAAAAAAAATCACTATTAATAGCAAGAGAAGATAAAACAATTTAGTTAGCAAACCAAAATAAAGCAGTGACCGCAGCAGAGTACAACTGTAAAGACAATGGCGCATGGAAAGAAAGATAACTTCCTGATGACAATGCAAATTGTTTCGTGAGTTGCTATTAACAAATATTTCAAGTGCATGGAGAAGAAATGTCACAATTCTAAAATTTCACAGGTAGCAACTATGAAGCTGTTTATTTTTCCTCCACTCATACTCGGAAACATCAACCCACTTGAGCTAAGGGATTAGCTCTGGGTGTACATGTGTGCATCACTACCAAAGGCTTCCACTTAAAGTGTCTGAAAAGCATTTTAGTAAAATACAGGAGGAAGATGGAATAAAAAGCTTCAAAAAAATAATTGTCTTTTCCTTTGGGGATGCTGTAGTTATGTTTGAGCAAGAAATCTGCTGCCTCGCATTAGTCTCTTCCCTCCCTCTCACTTACATACCTGGTTTACTCCTATATCAGTATCTTTCCTCATTGGTTTTCCCAGAGCTTGTGGGGGTGGGGGTGAGGAAGGCAAGAAAAGAAGCAAAAAAAAAAAAAAAAAAAACAAAAAAAACTTTTTACAAAACACTATTCC